GAAATTTTTCTCCCCTAAACTAGGGGCGCCCGCGCCTGCCCCATGTTTGGACCTTGGAGATATCAAAGATTTTTTGTGTTAAGCTCACCTATAGGTTCAAATTTGATACCTTTATGACCAAAAGACCCCGAACCCTTGCCAACGAGACTATCCTTGGGGGCGAAACTATCCCCTAGTATGATTAGCTATCCCAATTATCTAACAGAAAGTACTTTACACTAATCCTAAATGCATAGGAAATCTACAGTCCCATCTGAGAAAGGCTTGGTGATTCTAAAATGATACAGAAATGAATAGATGAATACACGATAGCATACTTCGATTTTTGTTGTGCACTTCCGTTTTCCCATGGTGGATCGACAACAATAAGACTGAAGCCACAGCTAGCTGTAGCTGCATAACAACCAAAAATGTTATCAGACTTTGCTGATGACGAGAATAAATATAAACTTACTGCGAGAACAAAGCATATAATAAACTATTCTTCTAAACCAACATTCAGCCTAACAATCAATTTCTCTACAAAAATCCTGAATAACAATCTAACAAATAAGGGATGTAGGATTAACTAGAGACCACATGTTAGAGACCTTGTTAGAGACAGGAGGTCTGACTACTTAAGGTAATGTTAAGAATGGTATTTGGTAGCAGCAGTAACTTAACTAAAGATCAACTGAAATGTCAATGAAACCTTGCATATTTGAAATTCTAAATCGTTTTGAACATAGACGTAAAACTAAAAGTATAAAACATGGAAACAAGACATGCAGCCCTTACCAGGAATAAGGTTGTGAACCTGCCTCAAATCAGACTTGTACATGGAAACAAGAGAAATAATATCCTGTAAGACAAACTTAGAACTAAACCTAACAAATTTTGAAATGAAAACATCTGAAATATCCAAATGAGAAGTACAAATCAATGCTTGTTTGACATCTGAAAATAGTTGGAGGATTTTTCTTCCTTAAACAGCAATAATAAATAAAGGATAATAAATAACACTAATTTAAGGATGCCAAAGGGAAAATGAAACTTCTTGAGTTCGTTTCTTCATTAATGAATGACCCCTGAAATAAAAAATGGAAAGATGTTAACAAAGTGACACCATACCATATAGAAGCAACTTTCACGAGGCAATATATACTGATGATCAAGAAATTCAGCTTCCACCTCATCACGTGTTTCATTGACAACCAGGTTATTAAATAATGAAGCTACTCTAAGCTCGAAAGAGGATTCTGAAGCATAATGGAAGCACATAAATTGTCAGGAATTTATAAACATTCATACAACCAATAAGCAGGCAGAGCCAAGAACTGAAGACTATGTCTAAAAATCATATATATATAACTTTCCCTTTAATTTTTAGAATGAAAAAGATTATATTAAAAGAAGAAGTTAGAATCTAAAATTTTGCCCCTTAAAGAAAACTTAAGACTGTATGCCCACAAAATTTAAAAGATTTGACATCAGTCACACTCACACGTCGCAGGAACTTAGCCAAATTAACCGAGACATAGAAACCACTAATCAAGAACTGAACATAAATGAAGGATAAGATGACAAGATTTTCCCCTGGTCGCAACTTGAAACCACCACCAATAAACTAACTTATCTAACTCCAACCTCCAGGGAATTTTATATCTTCCTTTAGGCACTATAGAATCTTACATCTTATCAGCATGGAGTAGCCAAGCATACATATGGGCAATAGAAGAAAATAAATTTCCTTAACACAAAGTTAGTGTAATCCAACTACTATGGAAATGTAATAGGATAAATATAATAACCCCTCCAAATATCTGCCGAATCACAAGACCAACCTCCAACTTCAATTGACTGGTCGGATTCAGGGCGTTTAAGAGTTATCTCATATAAGGGAGCTTGCCAAACCTGCCCGTGTTCAATCAATGATTGATTGTCTTTGGGAAATTCTAACCATCTGCTTCCCACTGAAGAACCAACATCGCGGTTTAAACTGCTCATTACCCCCAACAGATCAGTAGCTTGCAATAACAATTCGTGCGCCTTTAGTAACAAAGGCTTTGCCAGCTGCAGCACGAGAACATCATTCACTATTGCCATTTCAAGAATACAGAGAAGGGATAGTTGGCCATCGAGAACCGGTTCATACTTGTCAGAATAATTTTAAAAAATATATGTCTAAACATTTGATAGAAAGTTTAACAACGATTTCATTTGTGAAATCAAATTAAACAAGTTAGCCCTGACCAAAGTAGAATCATGGAAACCTGGTGGCGTTGATCGGCCGCACGTTCTTTCTCGTTTAGAGAGTGGGGTTTCTTTTCCTTCCTCTTTCTCTTCTTTGCAGAAGATAAACAGTCCCCGTTTCCGAAACCCTTCCTTTCGAAATCAAAGAATCGTTGGTAGTAACCAGAAGGAGAAACCCTAAACCGTGAGTACGAACGATTCAGAACACGAACTGGGTCTACGAATATGAAATTCGAATTCTCAAACTGATAAATTCCAGATTCCATAAATCCAGAGAGTTCATCCCTTGCTAAGCAATGCTCCATTTTCCCGCGTCTCAGTGTAATGGCTCAAAATCACTGAGATATGCACCCTCAAACGAATGTTGGTTAAATTAGAAGTACGTACTTTAAAGTTTCAAATATAGTTAAAGTTTAAACTTCAAAGGAATATCTAATAGCCAATATGTATATGAATTCTAAAAACTCAATAATAAATCCCTCAAGTTTAGAATTTGTCTGGATCTCCGAAACTTAAAAAAAAAAAAATTGCCATAAATCACCGCTCATTTTTCATTTACCAACTTTTAATTTTGTCTTTAATTAATATTTTTGAATGGTAAGACTAACTCAATAATAATTAACACTTGTCTGACCAATAAATCATGAATTCAAATCTCCAACTTTTATTTGTTATATTAAAAAAATTATTTGAACTATGAAAAAAATCGAATAATCAAATTAGCTACCGTCTATAATATCATATAATATATATATTAAAAACATATAATACCACGTACAAGACTACATTGTGTTCTATAATACAATAACCTTTTTAGAAAGAATATTTTCATAATTGTTAAATAGAGTTAGAGTATTCATCTAGATAGCTAATAAAGGCAATCTATAACACCTCTGACAAAATTCAAGAGGACTCCAAAAAGGACATGTTTTTTTTGGGGGGGGGACAAAATCACGTTTGTTATTATCTAAATTACTTTATTTTCTATCGGTCATGTTTAACCAATTAAATAATTGATTTCAATAAAGTTTAAAATCACTTAAAGATATTTTGAAAGAATTAGTTATACTTAAAGTCTATTTTTTCAAAATCACTGTCTCACCCCAAAACACATCATACTTTTATATATATATATGTATAGTTTCTATAATAGTTCAGTTTTTTCCTCCGACTATTTATATCAGATAAATTTATTTTTATTAAAAAAGCGTTCTAAATATTTTAAGTATTCGTTTTACAATAATTGTTTTACTATTTGTACGGTACAAAATAATATCATGCCCAATAATCTATTATAGTTTAATTTTCAATGTTACTCAATTTAAATATTAATATTAAATACATCCAAAACTATTCTAAACTTAATTTTAGTCCGTTATATCAATTTTTACCGTACACTTTTAACTTAATATTGTTTCAATTATAATGGTCTTTATTGTTAACATTAATCATTAATGTTGTACTAAAAAAATATTATTGATTAATGGCGATGTGTCGCACTAACTAACCTCTCTCACTTATACCTGGCTTTTTTTTCGTGTCTACCATTTATTTTAATGCAACTAACCTATTGTTTTTGTCATGTCATATAAAATTACCACTTGTTTATCCAAGTAATGAAATTACCACTTGTTTATCCAATTAACTTGTTACATCAATATTGGTGTTGTACACCGCATACTTACTATTAAAGAAATTAATAAACTAATAGATATAATACCAATCTTAGACTTAAATTTGTAATTTAACTAGCTAAAATATTAATTCTAGATACATGTTTGTTTTTTTAGTATAAGTAGCTCGCATTAGTTCAAGTATATGTTTTTAATCTCTATATGATTAGGTTATCTTTTCAATTTGTCAAAACAATTTCAGTTTAATTCATTATACTTCAACATATTTTTAATAATATTCTTCACATCAGTGAATTTTTTATTTCTTTAAGACAATACATCAATATGAGTGCTAAAATTGGTTGATGGTAACCTCACACAACATGATACACAATTTAAATGAGAAGAAAATTCAGACCAAGAGTTTATTCTTCCTCCTCAAAAGTTCTGAAAAGTTGTTTTTTTTTTTCCTCGTAATTATTACTCTAAACTTCCCCAATCTCAATTTTAACATCTACCAACATAAAGAAAATATAATAATTAAATAAATTAAAAATAAGGAATAAATGGAAGCTTTTTAAGATTATACTTTTTTTTAATATTATACTTTTTAACTTTGATTCATTTTGGTTTATGTACTTTGAAATGTTCGTTTTTTGTCCCTGTACTGTTTATGTCTAATCTTTCTACTTTTTAAATTAATGTGTATTTTCAAAAAATATCACAATTTTGTTTTTTTCTAATATGCCATAATCTTTTACTTTTCATAATATCCTATACACACATTTAAGTTAAACTTTTATTAAACTATGCTAATTATGTAATTTTTTTACTAAATTGATTTGAAAAAATATATTTATTTTATGTTATCTCTCCAAATATTCTTAAGTATCTTTCATAGGTAACGATATGATATTATATGCTTTTTATATATACTTTGGAGATGTTATTCCTCACATGTATATTCATGACCAAACTCCAAGCTGATTGGTTGGGTAAATTTAATTCCTAAACAAGTGGAAATCAATATAAATGGAGAAGAAACAACACTGGGTTTGAACACAGAACCTCCCACTCTGATATTATGTTAAAGATGAATAAAAAAACACTCAACTCAAAAACTTAAATTGATTGGTTAGGTAAATTTAATTTTTTATGGATATCTAACAACTTGCAAATCGAATTATGAGAGTTGTCTAAGTAACAAAGGCATTCAAATAAAAATGTCTATTTCTTTTTCTTTCTTGTTTGTCAAAATTTTGAAAAAAAAAAAAAAACTTGACCTCTTTTCTCCTTGCGCACCCTCGAAAAAACCGGAGAATATGAACCGGTGGACAGTGAGCCGAGCCGACCGCGCCAACGTCTTATCTTATGGAACAGAAGTAAAGAAAGTTCTGGAATGAACTGGAATGTCCGAGGAGGTACCAGATTTTTAGGTTTCCATTTTTACGACGCTTTTTCTTTAACTATATTACCGATTTACCCCGATCCGTGTGGTTTCCGTGTCAAGGGGAAGACCTTTAAGAGGAATAAATAAGGTTAAAATTTAAAATACCATTTTCGTCTTGAATTTTGGGACTTATCTATTTTAGTCACGGTATTTCGAAGGTCCAAATTTAGTTTCAATACTTTAAAATAAATCTTTTCATTCGTCCCCCTCCTTAATTTATGGCTAACTTTTTTCTTAGATAAAAATTGAAAGGGTGTTTAGGATAGGGAGTTGCTAAATTTGAACTGCTTTAATTTGAAGTTGTTTAATATAGGGAGTTAATTAATCTGTGTTTGTGAGTTGGATCCCTGCCATCACATGTTTTACTAAAAAAAATTAATATGTGTTTAATATAAAATAAGGAAAAAATAGAAAAGAAAAATGGGTAGAGAGAGAAAGAGCATAAAAAATAGAGAAAATAGATTTGAAGCCTACTTAAAAAAAATAGAGATAGAAAATAGTGAATCTCCGCTAAATTTTTTACATGTAATCTTTGGAGAATTAAGAACAAAAATTTCTCTCTTATTTTTATTATTCTTTGGTAAAAGTTAGTCAAAAATAATAATAAGAATAAAAGCTATATTGATTTGGGGAGAGCGCAAAGTAAAGTTGGAGATTATGTCAATGTCGTCTTAGTTGTCGATTGTGCAAGAGAGCTGATAAATTGACCTACCATAATAAAATCAAAAGATGACTCATATTTCAAAATTCATGCACTATGCACAATAATTAAAAAGGTTATATTTCACATAGCGATAAAATATAAATATCGATCAATTTGAACTTAGTTCAACTGGTCAAGATATTTATCTTCAACTAATTAAGAAATCGTAAGTTCAAAATATTTCAAATCATCGTCCTCATGTTTTACATAAGATTGTACTTTGTGTGTATTATTGTACAAAATGTATTGTCTTGCTTATGTCTAATAGTCTAACCATATAAATTTGTCGATATATATATATATATATATATATATATATATATATATATATATATATATATATATATATATATATATATATATATATATTCTTAGTAAATTAAAAAAAAAAAGTTTCATGTATTCTTAGAAAAAAGAAATTTAGAAACAAATTTATGTTTTTCAAAATCTAATTTTTTTTTCTTCTAATGTTCAATTTTTCTTCTAATAAATTTTTTCTCACTATAAAATATTTTACTGCCTAAACTTATCTCTCTAGACAATTTATCTTTCTCTTAATTTTCATCTCGAAAATATTTACTATTATTCTTCTCCCTCTCCAAAATCTTTATTTCTCTATCTAAAAACTTATTATTTCTCTCAACATTTCTCATTTTCAAAATTCGCATTGTATAACTTTCTTTCATCTTTGTGGTATATTTTTTTCTAAGAAATATATCTTCAACTTTGTTCTAAATCAATTTTCTTTCACGATTTTATATTTTTGTACTTAACTTTTCGTTCACTAAATTTTTTTAAAACTTTTCTTTTATTTCAGCAAAATATAATATTTCTAAATTTTCTCATTCAAAGGTTTTTTTTATCTCTATAAATTTTTATTTTCATATATCTACATTAGAGATGACGAAATTTATTGTAAGGTCGAGTTCTCGCTCTAAGAACAGATAATGTCTTTCTCATCACGTCYCATTCTCGATTCTATTTTTAAATAATGAATATATATTTTATTAACTATTTTGCTAAATTATGAATAAAATATTAAATATTTTGTAAATTAATTATCTATACTATTAAATAATAATTATGGAGTAAAATAGATATAAATGGTATATCTTTATTACTTTTTATTTTTTAAAATCTAAAAATAATTAAAATCAATTATTGAATCAATAAATTTTCTCATGAAAATCTTCATCTCCAAACGGGGATTCTTGAACCTCGACCTTGATTCCCATAATCGAGATGAGAATTAAAAGTTTTTGCGATGACGAAGATGAAAGAGAACATCCCGATTCCTATCATCATACTGTTGTCATCTTTATTTTACATAGATTTTTCTCTTAATAGTATATACTTTCAAAGTTTCTAACTTTTTAAAAACAGGAAGGAAAAATGATTATCAGATGATTTTCCATCTTTCAAAAACGAAAACAAGAAGAACAAAAAAAAAAAAATCAAATATATATTTTTCCAAATGTTATTACTTAGTTAGTACATGGATAGCTATTTATTTGGGTCAACAAGAGTAAACGAAGCAATTTGCGAACCACGCGCGAAGGGAGACGTGATGCCTTTTCCTTTCCAGTCCTCCGCTTGCTTAGCGCGAGCCGCGATGGAGAGACTGAGAAGTGAGAAGTGAGAAGTGAGAAGTGAGAAGTGGGTGGAAATTAGTAAAATCAACGACTGAGCTCACACCAACTCACGAATCAACATGTTCATGACGATCACTGCTCGCAAAACTCTTAATTGTGTGCGGAATTTAATGGGGTTTAGTGTAACCATGGTTGGGTTTTGAGTTTTGACGGTCTCTAATATCTGATCCATTTCCACATTCAAAAGCCTATAAATACTCCCTTCCTCCGCGGACTTCACACGCCATTAAGCAACACAAACGAGGAGACTTCGCTCAGTAGCTTCCTCTGGTCGACGGTCTTCGAGGTCAGAATTCTCTTATCCACCCCCATGCCCATTATGTGAATATTCCAATTCATGCCCCCAATTCTCTCTGYTTTACTAGATTTTCCGATGCTGTGGGGGTTTTTTTTACTTTTCTTCTATTCTTTATGTTCCACCCCCTCGTTTCTTTGTTGCATTTCCTGTTTGGATGGTGAGAATTGGAGGATCGAGTGGAGGGGTGAGTTTATTTCTTACGTTTACTTGGGTGAGATTGTTGATCGGCTAACTCGTTGTTAAATGTTAGTGTTAACCGATACCTGATCTGGGTTTTGTGAATTGTTGCTATTATCCAGGTTCCCCTGGTTTCTAATTGTCTTTTCCAGTACTATGCTTTTCGTTTGAATGGTAATGGTAACTTTTTCTTGTTGATCTTTCTGTTATATTGAGCTGTGAGTTAAAAGTTTTTGCCTTCATCTTGTCCATCCACCTCCGACAACTGTTGGATGGAAAGATTGGTATCAGATCTGATTTTCTCACGTTCGAGCTTGTTACAGTTCTTTTTTCATTTATAGAGTGATATTTTGACCTTGCCTCGCCTTCCTTTTTGTTTGCTGATCAATCAATATATATGTTTGTAATATTTATTGTTAGTTCCAATGATTAATTGCTTAATTCTAACCAATGATTTAAATCATGTGTTTGCACAAAAAGATGTGTCATACTTGTATAAAGTTATGTACCAGTGTGGCTTGATCAAGTGTGCATCGTCATTTTATTATTTGTTCGCGTAAGAAGATTTCTTTTGCATATAGATGATCAACTTATATAGTCTATATTGGATTAATTTTCTTTGTGTTTGACTTGAGTTTCTTTTTGTGATAGCCTTTGAGAACGCCTCTTGAGAAAATTAGACCAGACTTCTGTCTTCTCCTTGGTATTGGCATCCATGACTCCTTCCACAGTTGCCTCTCCGGCTATACTTGATTTATTCTGCGCTGACGAGGAGGTTTTTTTAGCAATAAGGAAAATATCGAGTGGATGCCCTTTGCCGCAAAATGTTTATGGAGGAGATATAGATCCCTACCGGATTAAACCCTCAAATTTACCTGGTAATCCTGATGTTTTCCTTGTCACAAAAATTCATGTTTCGAATTTCTCGATCTTTCTCACAAAATTCGGTGTTGGGAATTCTGAATAGGATGGTGTTATTTAGATACCTGAATAATATGACCAGAGTCGCAATACAACTAAGGTTGACTAACAATATATATTGATGAATCTATATCAAGATTTTGCTGCTGTTGTATTATATATCATATGTCAACCACACCACATATTTGTTAGGCTTAACAAACTTTTTGTGCAATGGGCATCAGCTTCTAGTTGATTTTTGTGGCATCAGTGGAAACTGAACCAGTTTTTACATGTTGTTGAAAAGGGAGGTCTACTTATCTTTTGGTCTTCAGAATGTTGTCTGATTATGGATGGACATTAGCAAAGTTTAGATCCAGGAGGATTTCCAAATTGAAATAAAATTAGTTTCAAAGAAAATTGTTGCTTTTGCACATTACATGGTTTATTGACCAGGTGCAACGTGATGAAACTCTTGTGTTAGAGTAAAGAATTATAAATTTACTGCATAAGACCAGCTTGTTTAATTACAAGGAAGCTTAGGTATTTTTTATGTTCAGGTGACATTTGGTATTACGTAAAGTGCAATGGGAGTACCATTGGTCACTGGAAGCGGAAAGGCGAGGATCGTAAAGTGTATTTGAACTCTCCCTTCACTGGATGGGTAACCACTTATGAATTTTCTGAAGATCAAGCAGCTCATGAGCATAAAATGGTCTGGGTTATGGAAAAGTACTGGATGAGTGGGACGGACCTGTGTGAAAACAGCAAGCAAAAGGTATGCTCTGAAATCAATTTGCCAAGAAGTTTATGAACTGACATTTCCCTTTATTTTTTTTTTCTATCCATCCTGCCAGTCAATTGCTTGTTTGGTTGGGAAACATGCAGGAAACTAGCTCGCTTTGCAAAGTCTTTCTTGTATATGAACAAGTTCAAAACCATGAAAAGATTCAGATAAGCGACTCCGATATTACTTCGAAGTCGGAAGCCATCAACCCAAATCATCAGCTGGTTGTCCCAGATGCTTCGAATAATATGACAAATAATGGGTCCACAAGCAAGTCTAAGGTAGTAGTCATTATACCCCTCAATTTTGATTCACATTCATTTCTTTCTATAAGTTTGATATGAAGCTGTGTTTTTAAAACCGTTTGGCGCCCTCTTATTTACCTTTTTAGGATAGTAACCGTCACTAGAATCTGATCGCTCCATCTTCTCTGCTTTCCTTTTCTACTTGGTACAGGGTCGCAAGTGGTGTTTCTATTTTCAGTTAATGACTACTTAATGTTTTGTAGATAAGTGGAGATGACAAGATGGTAGAATTGCCAGTTGCAGGGAAACCCTTGGATTATCATTCAGAAGAGATGGATTATCTTTCTCGAGGCGACTTCTTGGAATTGATTGATTTGGATGACCCAGCATCGCCATCATCAAGTTCTGATAGTTCTAGTTGCTTGACCATGTCATCAGATGAAATGTTTGACGCAATGGCTCTACTACAAGACCTAGAATGTGACATTAACCCTGAAACGATACAAAGAGACGCGGCCTGCATCGGATCCTCTGTACCCTCCAAACTAAAGAAGGAGGTGGTGCATCGACGGCCTTCAGGTTTTTCGATTTCTTTCTCTTTTCCTTCTGTTGGTTACCTTCCATTTTATGACTCCTATTAATCAAGAATAATCTGCTTAGAATTTGAAGGCAGAACAGAACGTTCAGCTTTATGGTTATCTGAATTATCCTGGAATGTGCTGTTCTTTGGTTTGTACTTTGTACTTCAAAGAATCAACATTAATAGGGAGAATCATTCGTGAATAGTCATTTTATGCCCCAGCTGTTAATACTTCTCTTTATTGATGTCCCTGCCCTTTTGTTTGTCAATAAGAGCCTCTCACCTGCACATTCGAGTTGGTATTTAGACATAAACATAAAATTTTACCTCATGCTTTCAACCGTAGATTCACTGTTCCGAAATGTGTTTTCACATGTTGGTTGATATTTAGATGTAAACATATCTTCCCCTCGTGCATCCCACTGGATCTCTCATGTTATATGATATTTAGATGTAAACAGCGCGAAATCCGTAACTATTTCACCTTTTTACATAAGCAGAATCCTTTGTGATCGTTAAGAGAAGCGAATCACCGGCTGAAGAGAATCCCAAAACCAATTCCACCGTGGTCGTTTCAAGCCCTCCAATTGAGGGCTTAAAAGAACCAGACATGAAACAACTCCGAAGCCAAAGTGAGAAAGCAGGCTATGGATTGGAAGGTGCATCATCATCATCAAGTTCCCTCAGCAAGACGGTGTCAAATGGTCAAGAAACAGCCATGGATGGAGGGAAGAAGACCAGCGTTGGCCGAGTGAAGAAGAAGAAGACTTCGAAAAAGTATCTTTGCTTCTTTCCATTTTAGATCTTCTTGATCTTCTTCTCACACGTATAGCAGAGAGCAGTGAAAGTAAGTTAAATAATGGCATTAGAGTAACATTGGGTTTTTAGCAAATTGTACTGAATCATTAAAGTCTTAGAAAACATACCATAAATTTGTCTTGTGTGATTAAATGTAGTTTTTTCATTTATAATGTGTAACGTTAGGAGTTAGGAACAGGGTTTTTGTAGAGATTATGGTGTCTTGTAGTTGTAGGTGATATGACTTCTTTCTTAGAAGACATAACATTTGGAAGTGTTTCACAAGGCTTCATTCATAACTTATTCAAATCCATGTAATGTAATGAAATCTTATAGGCCTGGTTACCTTTGTTAATAAATTCATGTTGTTTGTCAAGTTGTGAGTTTGGCAGCTTTCTTAAGATCACTTTTTTTTATTATAGTTTTCTCAAAAGTGTTCTAAAATTTTTAAATTTACTTTGATAATGCAATTTCAAACACTTTGAGATATACTCGATCATTTTGCTATAGCATTTCTTATTTTAGGAAAATGGGACCTAACTATAGTAGGTAGGGAAAATGAGACACATTTGGGTATGTTCGTTAGTGAAACATATTTTATAAATTTCATGATGTTGGGATTTGTAAGTTTGATTTTCTTAGAATTAAAATTTTACTTCCATGTCATATGTTACAACTTTTTGTTACTAGAGCATAAATTTGAATTTATTTGATTTGGATTATGCTGTTTTTTGAATTTTAAAGTTTTATATTATATTTAAAAATACATCTTTATTTTAGGTTCTTTATGCAAATGTCTATAAAAACAATTTACATTGCTCGATGTCACTTTGCTTGTTAAGTCCATTCCTATCCCGAACACCATATTCTAGTGCGTCCACACAAGAGGTAACTTAATTTGTGTTAAATAGTTAAAAGTTTTGAAATTTTCACTATTAAGTATTAATATTCATGGGGTCATGTGAGATCCTTAACGTAACTCTCAAGATGGACAAGATGTTCGTTTGAGCTTTTGGGATCTAATATTATATCAATATTTGCAGCTTTGATACCAAGTGTTGAATGAATTAACACAATAGGAAACAGACAATCGCTTGAAGAAAGATACTTTTATTAAGAAAGTAGAAATATGGACACTCTTAATGGAAGACTATCTCACACTCTCTAACTTTCCTATCTTTCTTCACTCACTTCTCTTGATTCATTCTCTACACTCTTTCACTTGATTCACATGAACATCTCTCCTATTTATAGGAAAAAGATCCTTGGAGCCCAAGCAAAAAGAACTTTCTAGATTCCTCTCAAATCTTAAAATCCTTTGGAACCCAAGGGAAAGTCTAAGATATTTCTAGATCCTTTTCTTTAGATATTTATTTACAATCTTCAAGAATAATCTAGAAAGACTAACTATTACCCATAAGAGAAATGTGTAGAAACTTCCAAGAAGCTTCTAGATAGTTAGTGTGGTATTTCAACAGCCCATGTCTATTATAAACTAGGTCCCATCTTTTTTCAACGTGGGATCGGACTTCACTTTTTGTGTCAATATCATTTTGAGACACATAATAATTTACTTGTACTAAAAATAATTGAATTTTTTCCCCTAATTATGTGCGTCTCGACATTTAAAGCTGCTCAATGAATCAGCGTTTGAACATTTGAATTAGTTTTCAATTTTCAAAGGAATTCCTTAGTGTTTTTTTTTTAAAATTTTTTTATAATAACTGAAGTTGTTATTTATTATTAATAATGATAGTTAATCAATGTTTTTGAAATTTTCTAATAATATTTTATGATGAAAATTGTGCAGCAAACCGAAGGACGTGACGTGAGGGAACCAACTTTGGGTCTGGGCTGGCTGAGTTGCAGTGGGCTGGACTAATCCCAACGAACCTAGCGAAGCCCATTAGTAGTGTTTACTCCACATTATGAACTTTTAAGATATTATTTTTATATTTTTAAATGGGCCTTTTATTTCCTTTTTAGTACTTTTCAGGTCCAAATTTATACCCTAAACATGCCCATTAAACACCCATTTCATATTATCAGTATTCTAAAACTTCTTCCTGCATTTCAAATTCAAACATCAAAATCATTTAATGTAAAAAAAATATATTCCTCCACCTTAAACTCAAAATAAAATTTTGGGAAGATCAACAAAACCAACTAAACCGAATCAATTCAATCAATTTATCAGTTTTATCAATCCATTTTTTTTAGTGGTTTTAGCGTCATTTTTTTTGCCAGAAATCAACCTACTTACACGGTTCTCAAGCTCGTAGTCACCCTTCTGGCATATTATAATTTTCTAGACTTTAACGTCGTATCGAACAAATTGATATGCATGAATATATTTTAAAAGGTTTAAATACTCTTTTGGTCATCGTATTTTCGAACTTGGTTGATGTACTTTCAAAACATCTATTTTTGTCTTTACATTTTTAATTTTTGCTTGTTTAGTCCATATGCATTCAAGATATCTGTTGACTTATACTTTTTAAAAAAAATGACTATTTTAGTTCATTTATTTTAATCAAAACATTTTTACCTCCTAAAGTTTTTGAAATGTGGCCAAAAAAATTTATATTAAATGTTTTTAATTTTGTATAAAATTTGTATCAATATTTTGAAAGGAAAAAAGTGGTCATTTTCTAAAAATTTAGGGATCAAATTTGATGTTTTAAAAAATTCGAGACTAAATGATAATTAAAAAAAATAGTATTTAAAACTACGAATAAACGGTTCTCTTCCATGGTTGGACATTGAATTTCACAAATCAGTGTGACTTCCTCCTTTAGATTATTCGAAAAGCTTATATTATAATATTTACAGTTGTCTTTTATTGCTGATGTGACTTATCTCAGACAAAATTTTCTGTCCCTATACCATACTATTTCTTACTATTTAAATAAAAGAAATGATTTTTTTAAATTTAGTTAAATTAATTTAAATTTCTATTGTTAATCTGAATGAGAGTTTGCCGTAATTTCAATGTTCTGAAAAGTAATAATGTATTCAATTCCTTGGATTTTGAAATTCTGCAAATTCATTCACTTCAATCTCAAACACATATAATTCAAAAAAAAAAAAAAAGGACACACATTCGATTCAAAGTTCTCTTCTTTCTTTGCTATTTTTTCTTTATCTTTTGTTTTTCAAACCCAAAGAAAAAGAAAGTTGGTAATTATCACGAGACAATGGGTTTAAATTGAAATTGCGAAGAGAAATAGAAGTATTAGTTTCTTCATTTTGAATTATCTTTATCTATCGAATTTGAAGGATTGAATAGCTCTTATTTAAGAAATTTAAAAGAAGAATATCTTATTGACACTACGTTTGACAAAAGATAAATACGCATAAGGTACTCTATAAAACCATATTTTTTGTCATGTTTTACATACTACTTAAATTCTGACTAGCATTGCACCAATATGTAATCTTTTTATTTTGCTGGTTTCATCAAATTCATTTTCTTCTATAAAATTAGCGCATGATAATTATGTTAGATCAAATTTAAACTATAATATATTAAAAAATATAAGACATAAAAGACATTAATTAAACTAATATTTATTAGTGGAAGAAAAATACAATGCTAAAACAAAACAAAACTCGGAAGCTATAGTAATAAGAAATAT